ACACCGCATAGCCCATCTCGTTAATGACCTTAATGACCTTAATGACCTTATTAACAACCTGAACTGAAGTTACATTCCAGTAAACCTATTCGCGCGGATCTAACATGTTTTAATAGCAAATAACAAATAGCGCTCTGGGCGCACATTATGTAACTGAGTTCTACACGAGGGGGCACAGCAGCTGAGGTTATAGCAGTCAATAATAGTGTTGTTACTAGCTACACTAGAGAAGTTCACGCAGATTCGTGCGATGTTGTTGCCGATGTTTGAACACAACTGCGAACCAAGAGTGAATCACCGATCACTGCACTAAAGCAACGTCAACTCCGCGCATCGAATACACTGAATGAATATATTATATTTCCTGAGAATCGAGACTGTGTCCGACCTGTCTCCATCCAGTTCTGCCAACCTTGACGATGCAAGCCCACACCAAAAGTCGATACCGAACTAACGAACACCACCAAGAGTGAATGATAACAAAATTGGTTTTCATACAACCCTGATACAACTAAGATACCGCATATAGTCAAGAGTGTATAATATAGTCTATATTATACACTCCATATGAAATGTACCACCGTTACTAACACGAACACATGTACATTTAATACTCAATCGCAGTAAGCATAGCTTCATGCTTCTACACTGATGCATTTTCTGTAGTAGCTAGGGATGACTGCGACTGCCTCCCAAGCAAAACCCGTGCTCTATACTGAGAGTTCGTCTGTCTATACGTTCCTCCGTGCAGGAGAAATGCTCTATGATTGCCCTCAGCACTAGGCGCTACTGGAATATGCGCCCACTCCCCACACATTATGCGATTAGGGTGTCACTGCCAGCAATCAGTGTGTCGCACATGACGTGTGACAGTAGCAACGTGACCATTGCAACAGTTCGAGGAGATATAATTCGACTCATATTTACCCGCGGTAACGTTGTCTCTTTATACTGACATTCATACGAGCATTTTGCGCACGCAGCCGGATGTCTGATGATAATCACAGTACTGTAGTGACTCCCACACGCGCGCGCACACACAAACACGCTCACGCGCGCACTCAAACACGCACGCACACGCGCACGCGTGCACACAAACACGCACCCACACACGCACGCACACAAACACGCACGCACACGCGCACACAAACACCCACACACACGCGCGCGCACACAAACACGCACCCACACACGCACGCACACAAACACGCATACACACGCGCGCGCACGCACACGCGCACCCGCGCACACAAAACACGCACACACGCGCGCACACAAACACGCACCCACACGCGCGCACCAACACGCACCCACACACGCGCGCACGCGCGCATGCACGCACACAAAACACGCACACGCGCACGCACCCACACAATCACGCACCCACACAATCACGCACCCACACGCGCGCGTGCAGGCATATTGAGACACACGTGCGCACGCACTCACGCGCGCGTGCA